ACCTGGAACAAACGATATCTCAAGAACAAGCAGAAGCCCTGGACAAGCCCATCACCATTGAAGAACTGCAATTTGTTGTACAAAATATGAACAACAATAAAGTCTCCACGAATCGACGGATTGACAAAAGAATTCTGGGAAAAGTTATGGCCGCTCTTAGGGGGCGATTTAATAAGCTTCTACGATGACAGCTGGCTCAAGGGGGGACTGGGAAACCAACCGAGCTGCAGTGTAGTCACTTTGCTATATAAAAAAGGGGAAAGAGAAGACATCAGGAACTATAGACCCATCTCGCTTCTAACACTTCCCTACAAGATCCTAGCCAAAGCTCTAGCCTTTCGAATCCTAGACCTGACAGTCATAGTTTTGATATAGACCAAACAGGCTTCATCCCTGGGAGATACGTCCTGGACAACGTACTGACCCTCAGCGAAGCGGCCAACAAAGTGAGAGAAAAAATGATAAACACAGCAATGCTTTTTTTTTTTTTTGAAAAGGCCTATGACCAGGTCAACTGGGCCTTTCTCAATGCAAGCATGGAGAAGATGGCAGTGGGTCCGAATTTTAGGAAGTGGGTGCGCATTCTGTATAATGACGTCATAGGGTGCGTCCAAGTCAATGGTCTGCTCTCTGATTGTTATCCAATATCTCGGGCAGTTTGCCAAGGGGACCCACTAGCTCCCCCAATCTTCCTCTTCATGATGGAAGCAATAGCACCATTCCTACGCAAAGACCCCTCCATACACAGACTACCAGCGGTCAATGTAGGAACAGCCCACCACCTACAGTTCCCGAAGGTAATAATGTTTGCGGACGATCTCACGGTTCTCATAAGAGCTTCAGACTCGCCGTTCAGTGCGTTCGTAAGAGCAATGGAAGCGTTCAGACTGGCATCAAAAATGAAGATTAATTGGAAGAAAACAATTGGCTGGTGGCTATCGGAGGAAGAGGCTCCCCAACTTCGAGGCCCTGAGGCAGACATGACATGGGAGACACCGGAGACCCCTACGCGATATCTAGGCATCTTGCTGACAAAGGACGGCTTTGCCCCTCAGATGGCCCAAAATATACTCGCAAAAAAAGTTTCGGGCCGGCTTTTCTCGGGTTTCTTATCAGCTCCTCCAGGCTCTCCCACTTCGTGGCCTTCGAAGGAAACTTGTATCTTTCTTTTACTAATTCATCTTTGTTTATGCTACTCACTATTAGTTTAGTTTGGGTAGATGGGGTAACACATTCACATCATTGCTGGGCCGTGCACTAGCCATCAATATATCTATTTTCTCAATGATGTGGTATATAGCATCAATCTGGACAGTTCCGGACCATACAATCAAGGAACTTAACCGTAAAGCAAGGGCATACTTGTGGTCGGGCGACCCCAACAAAGAGAACTGCATACCAAAGAGAGCTTGGCACTACATTACAAGGAAACCAGCCAAAGGAGGTCTTGGTATCATAGACCCCAAACAGGAAACCAAAGCCTTACAAGTTAAATGGATAATCAAACTTCTGGCTAAACCTGGTACGACATGGAAAAAACTGGCCTTGGATAGCATCAGGGGCCTAGCACCCATAGCCTCACCAGCAAACATGTCTGGTCTGTTCTGGGTAATGACCAAGGAATGGAGTCCAAGTACAGGGCGCAGAAATCAACGAAGAGGAACCGGTCCAAGCGAAGCTAGGCCCCCTACACCATATTGGACTGCATTGCTACGGATATGGCGGGAAGTTATGCCGAAGAAGGTGGGTAAACCCAAATCCAAAGACGAGGTACTGAGGCAACCTCTGTTTGGTAATCCGTGGGCGAGAGACGAAAGTGATCACCAACTATCCCTTAAGCCTAGAGGAAGGAGATGGCTATCTTGGATCAAACATGGTGTTTGGAAAGTGAGCCATCTGTGGAATGAGGAGAGAAAGGACTGGGTGACAAAACAGGATCTTGCCTCCCAGCTCAAAGGTTGTCACCGACGAGACGAGTAGCTACAATCCATTATCAACTGCATCCCAGAAGGCTGGAAGGAATTGTTGTGTGAAGTCTCAACCTGGACATCGGGTGAATGGGAAGTGAGGATACAGGATTTAACCCCATCAAGGGCCTATCAATTCTCCCATAAACAGCAAGGACCGGATACCCTGGCGGTGTTTACTTCTTTCCCAATTACCCCCTCTACGCAAGGCCTTCCATCTATTCTGAATCAAGAGGTGGAAAGAACAGTCCTAAACCTTTTTGTACTCAGAAAATTATGAGTGTTGGGATCATGGCCAAAAACAAGCTTCAGAACAGATACGGCGATTCAAGACTTGGAATTTGATCTATCAGAGTGGGCTTGGACACCAGACAGAAGCAGAAGCCTCAAAACGAATGTCCCCATTCAGGAATACACAGTAAAACTGGGATACAACTTACTCTTCAAAATAAAGGATCCTGACCCAACAATCAAGAACAGATGGCAAAAGTTAATAGGCCTCGACGCTAGTCAGATCCCACAAATACCATGGAAGAAATTCAAGTCAATCCGCCCGGTCTAGTCAGATCCCACAAATACCATGGAAGAAATTCAAGTCAATCCGCCCGGTCAAAATCAGAAGCCTCCAATGGCTTATCTCATAAGTAGCACTTCCGGTTAACCAGTGGCTGCATATCAGAAGAAGTAAGAACGACCCTAACAGTTCAGATTTATGCGCGGTATGTTCAGAAAATGAACCAGAAGATATGCTACATTGCCTGATATGCTGTAGAGAGGCAATGGAATACTGGGCAAGAGCCTCGGATCTCTGGGACTCCCTCTTCTCGATTCCCCTCCCTGAATATCCCATTCAACTCCTTCTATGGACTAACATCCCAGTTCAATTCCGTAAGACAGAAAAAGTGTGGTTTGGAATGATCAGAAAGACAACGCTGTGGTCCATCTGGAAGGAAAGGTGCTGCAGAACCATTGAGGGACTCTCAACTCCAAGGGAGAAGGTATGAGTGGAGACAAGGACCCTGATTCAGGCAGAGATTCTTTGCAAGTGGCATAAGACAAGACAATCCATGCCAGATGACGAAGAGCAACAGAAAAGAATCAAGGCAAATTTCACTAAGATGTGGCTTGCAAGGGGCAAAGTGGCAGAGATAATTGACTCTCGCACACGGTGGAAAGACTGACACAACTCAGAAGCAGGGAGGAGAACGCAGAGTTCCCAGCCAGCAGAAGGACTAGTTCCATCACAGGTCACATAATGTTGGAGGGCGAATTCCGATATTGCATCTTCCATGGCTTCTTTTCCTTTCTTGCTTTTGACCATTTATCTGACAGGTTCATGCAGTAGACCTGAGAGGAAAGGAGGCAGTAAGGCAAGCTGACAGTCAATCCTCCACGATGTTGGAGCAATCAATGCTGGTCAGGGATCCTTCGGCCGGACGGAAGGAAGGAAGCGTGAGTGGGTTTCATGATGTAATGTTTTATTCTGAATTGTCGGTGGAATAGGAACCGGACTGATGCTCCCCAGAATGGAAATGGAGCCGGAGCTATAAGGACCGGTTTTATCAAAGAAAAAAAAACGTTCATCGTCCAGTCCGTTGTAAATTTCACTGACTCTGCCCATATCATTACATTATCTCCAGTGAACCTCCTTGAGACGCATCCTTTCTGATCTAAGTGGAGGCAATTCTCGGTGAATGTGCTAACACTATTGACTGTCTAGTGAGATCTAGGCCTAGGGAGAACCACGAGGTCTTGAGTCGTGTACTTTCTGCAATTGGTAAGTCGCCATTCAGCTCTACAAACTCCCTTTATCTTGTTGTCTTTTGTCCTGCTGCTTATCACACTGTCTCTCCTGTAGCTCTCTCCTCCTCCTTTCGATCTTCCTCCTCATCTCTTTTTCGTCTCTGTGCCTCTTATCCCACTGGCGTTTTCTCCAGTAGCGCCCTCTTCTTCCCTGCGCGTGAACACGGTTTTTTGCGCAAGAAGTGGGATTAGACTTACGTGGTGTGGTGCGGAGCCGCCTTGCACAGCAGTGCGGTAGGGTTTCGCGCGGCGAAGTGCGTTGCCCCTATGCTGGAGCGCAAGATGCATCGCAGTGTCACGTGGGACTCGTTGGAGCCTGTTCCTAACCCTTTTTTCTTTTCTTTTGGGTAGAAACTAAGAAAAGTGACGTTATGTTAAAGGTGGGAGACCGGGTCTAGCATCCCTTACAAAAATGCACTCACGCACACTTCCCTCCGTTATGGCTGAGGAACCCTGAGGCAAGGGCATTGATTGCTTCCTTTTCAAAGGATTTACCCCTGATTCACTGCTGCAATCTTCCTGTTATCGCGTGTTGTGCACGCCTAAGAGTCTGCTCGCTTGCTCACTTCTCTCCACTCAGCCGCGGAAGGCTGCCAGATTTCCTAGATTGCCTCTAGAGCTATTCTTGCTGGCCTTTGTCAATGCTGTTCATTGCTCCTAGAAGTGAATGTTGTTATCAGGAAGTAGTCGGTTCTAGAGGAATATGCTGACTTCTATTCGGTTTCACGTTCGACATTCCATAGACTAGGTATGGTAGAGATGATTCATCTCCTACAAGGCTACAGCCTATTTCCTGTTCATGTTGCTTCTTCCTAGTGAGATGTCCACCAACCTTTACATCCTCGCTGGTATACATTCACCAGAACATTCTCATTCTGCGGCAGGAGCTGGACTAGGCTATCTTGAAGAATTATGTACCTGTTTGAATGTCCTTTCACCAGCTGTTTAAGACTTGTGCTTCTGGTCTCATGCATTTTTTGCTTCATCGGATTTGTTCAGAATGGTCAACCAAGAGAGAAAAAGAGAGACACTGTTCTCACCTTGGCTTTTTCTTTTTTAAGGAAAAAAGGGCAACATCCTTGAAGAATATTATCTTTGAACAGACTGGCCCCAGGTAAATTCAGAGTTGTTTCAACCATCTGAGTCAGTGGGATTTGAACTCAGGTCTGTGTTTCAACAGATCATGGGTGTACCAACTGAGGTAGGCTTGTTTGCCTTATGTCTTTCCAGGGATGTTATGAACCAAATTTTGCGAAGAGGACACAGTCGCATCCCTGTTTATTCGGGGTCTCCAAAGAACATCATTGGTTTGCTTCTGGTAAGTGGAACTTATAACATTGTAGCAGCTCATGGCTACTTTGGTCGCTTAATCTTTTCAAAACGTTAGTTTTAATAATTCTCGTTCTCGTCACGTCTTCCTAGCTGCTTGGCCAGTAGTAGGTATTTGGTTTACTTGGCTTAGGAATTAGTACCATGGCTTGTGAAGTGTGAGGAACAGCTAGAGAAAGGTATGGGCGGGGATTTGGCATTGACTGTGAAAATAAGGGGGGGGATTGAGGGGAAGTGCCTCCACAGACTTGTGACAGGGAGTGAACTAACTGGAAACTGCCTGGTCAGACTATGACAGGGAGGGAACAAAATTCAAACAAACTAAGTATTGTACGAGTGGTAGTAGGTGGCAGAAGGTGATAGCAAGTGGTTGTGGATGACTGTAAGGGCCAGTGGGCATTTGTGAAGGACTTGGCTGACAAGTAAGTACTGGAAACTGCCTGGACAGACTATGACAGGGAGGGAACAAAGTTCAAACAAACTGAGTGTTGTATGAGTAGTAGTAGGTGGAAGAAGGTGATTGCAAGTGGTTGTGGATGACTGTAAGGGCCAGTGGGCAACTGTGAAGGACTTGGATGGCAAGTAAGTACATGGATGTTGATGTGCTTAACAGAAGGATGGTGTTTTCCTCTTTCCCAGTTGGCTTCTGGGTTGTGCAAGCAGTGATGGGTGGGTGGTCGCATAGGGTGGCCAGTGAAAAGTTTCAATGCCTGTGAAGTTGCGAACGGAAATGCGCATGGGATGGAGTGTTATTAGGTGTGGTGCTCCTGTGATTGTGACAGTGGGTGACAATGGTGAGAGTTGGCAATATGTGCTTCCTCCAAATACAATGTACACCGTACGGTCATTATGGCTGTATTGGGGATATCTTTCAGTGTAAATACAGCTATAATGACTGTACATTGTATGTGGAGGAAGAAGGTAGGGATTGGAAGCCTTTCCGGATTGCAGCAAGAACTGCAAATGAAAGCGGCTGTATTTGTGTTAGAATGACAGCGAGTGAGACTGTGAAGAGTATTTTCTTAATTAAGTGAATCACCAGATCGACACCGAGTGGCAGTATGGACAAAATGAGAGGAAACAGTATGTAATCCAAAGTCATGAAGGATTGGCCAAGAGATGCATGAAGTAAGCAGTCTTAAGCATGGAGTTTTTCTCCTCCTCTCTCTCCTTCTCAACAGGAAGTCCATGCTCTGACATGAAGCCCACTTAAAACCAGGCTGCAAAACCATTGTAGGCAAAGCGCATGTTCCAAGAGTAGAGCCTATGTCTGCAAAACACCTGCACACCCACACAAAGAGGTGGGGCAGGCTTACAGAAGAACCTATGTCTGCAAATTACACACATCCACACACCCACACACAGAGGTGCGGCAGGCTTACAGCGGAGCCCAAGTTGTGCTGTATATTTCACATGATAATAGTCAGGTGCTTGTGTGGTGCATTTTTGCTGTCATGGTTACTGAATTTGAATTGTGGATATCTTCCCTGTCCCTCAGATAAAGAATCTCTTGCTGATCAATTTGGATGAAGGAGTTCCCGTGAGCGCTGTTGCTATAAGGAGAATGCCGAGGTTAGTTGCCTTGCAAACCCTAGGCCCAGGCCGATGACATGGCATGAACATCTCCCTCCCTCCTCCTTATGATCCCCTATATGATAACCCCACTCCTTTTTGCTCTCATCGCCGCTATGCGCAACAGACTAACAGGGTTGACTTGGCTGCACATCATGACTGGGACATATGTCTCTATGGTGTGGAGCACTGGTTTAAAAAGTGACTCTGCTATGTGGCAGCTTCAGCCTGTGGTGAGTATCTACGACGCACTCCTCACCCAAACTGCTCCTGTCCGGTCTCCAGCTCCTCAACTCAAAATCCCCCGCAACCCAAACACTGACTGGCCTCGTGTGCCATTCGAGAGTAGTCTGCTCCGGCGGTGAGTATTGAGAACCCTCTGAAGTTTTGTCTCTCCTCTGTTCCGTTCTTTGCCCCTCCGCTTCCCTCTGATCTTCGCTATCTTACTCCCCCGCCCCTCACTTTCCATAGAACTCCACCCTCTACCCGTTTCCTACCTCCCTCTCTTCTGTACTAGTAAATGCCCCCGCCTCTCGCTTTCCACAGAACTGCACCCTCTACCCATTTCCTACCTCCCTCTCTTCTGTACTACATATGAATGAGCATCACTAACTCTGCTTCCTTTCATAATGTGGAAGTGGGCTGTTATGGCACACGGGATGTGGGCAGCTGATGCTCCACCGCAATCAACCTGACCAGCCTTGCACGTGAGAGGCGCAGTAAAAAGGGAGCTGCAAGAACAAAAAACAGGGGTACACAATAGGAATCCAAAGTAAAGATAATCAAGAAAGGGATATAACGTCCTGTGGGACATTTAAAATTGGAACTATACAGAGAAGATGAGCATGGCCCTTGAGCAAGGATGACACACATAATCCAGAAATGGTCCCAAAAATAAATAAAGAAAGAAACTAAAGAAAAAGAATGACACACATAAGTCGAGAAATGGTCCAAAATAACTAACTGGTATAACTAGAGAAATAAAAAGAAAAAGAAAAAGAAATGGATATAATGGATCTGTTGTACTCCATGTCCTTTTGCAGTAGAGGTGAAACTGTTTCATTATTGTAATGGCTCGTTGATTGCGTGCAAAAGACGTAAAGCTGCTTCGATTTTGGATCTACTCATCTGGGTGGAACAGGGGCTGCTGTGGTGAAAATCGACAACACAACCTCTTGTTGAGTTGGTGAAAATCCCACGAAACAGTCTGGCACAATCATGTTTTTTTGGTGGAGTTGTGTACAGTGAATGTGAACCACAATCAACATGGCCAGCGTCGTATGTGGGAGGCACAGTAAAAGGGGAGCTGCAAATAAAAGGGGTACCCCAAAGAAAGCCAACGTAAAGATAGTTAAGAAAGGGATATAATCTATCTATTGTGCCCCATGTTGCTTGCTATAGAGGTAAAACTGTTTCATTATTGGATTGGCTCATCTCAAGTGTGCCTCATCGTCTGCAAGACAGGTAAAGCTGCTTTGATTTTGGATCTACTCATCTGGGTGGAAAAGGGGCTGTTGGGGGTGAGAAAAAATCTAAAACACGCTAGTCATCTGTCCATGGCTGAATTGGTGTGTAGAGTGGGTTTAATGCCTCTGACAGATTATTTTCTGAGACTTACGGCCATTCTTGTCAGGGGTTTGGACCGGCAGTCTGCTAGGATTGCAGGTTTGGTGTGAGTAAAATTGGCTACTTTTCTCAGGGGTATCACTAGCTCTGGGCGACGTGGTGAGTCATATCCACCAGTCAAATGCATCCCAGGCAGAGATGTCGCAATTCAACCTCCTGATGAGTCGGTGAAAGCCCGCCCGAACAGCCTGGCTCAGTCGTGCTTTATACTTGCGGCGTATCCTGGACGTGGGGTCGCGGCACATGTGACGCAGCACCAAAAAAAAAAAAAAAAAAAAAAAAATTGAAAGGACAGGGTGGGGTGGCCAAACATGCCCCTTGCTTCCAAAAATCAAACTGCAAGAGGGGAAAAAGTTGGGGCCACCCCATACCCCAACACTGTGAGCACGTGTGTGTGGGTGGGTGTGCATGTCCTAATTGTGTCCAGTCTCATTTTCGAAGGACCCCTACGAATTAGCAAAGACCCCTGGTGGAGCAGAGACAGACATTAGACTTCTACTTTGTCCTGTGGTCCGAGAATATGTAGTCTGGATTCAAATTCAGGTCTGTCAATCACAGTTATGGGTCACTAATTCTCTGTTTTCTCATTTTTCTTTTTTTTCTCGTTTTTCTTTTCTTAGGAATACGTGCAGTGGCCCTAAGGGCCCCTTCACCACATGCACAAAAGACAAAACATATGGCGGCGTATTATTCCACGTTCTAGCAGAAGATTCATTCTAATTCTGCACATTTGCAGTTGCCCTAAGGGCCTTACTCACCACATGCAAAAAAGACAAAACGTATGGCGGTGTATTGTTCCACGTTCTAGCAGAACATTCATTCTAATTCTTCACATTTGTTGAGTACTGCAGCCAAGCCCTGAGAATCACGTGCAGAGACCAACAGGGCCTAGCAAAGTGAGCAACCCATAACTGCTGAAACACAGACCTGAATACGAATCCTGAGTATTTATTCAGCCAGCACGTGCTCCACTTCGTATTCACTGCCTGCCTCGGTTTTGGTGGAGGGTCCTTGCTAAATTGCTGCGAGGATCCTTACCGGCGTGCGCCCTCTGATACGTGTGAAGGGAACTTTTGTTCTCTCTCTCTCTCTCTCTCTCTCTCTCTCTCTCTCTCTCTCTCTCTCTCTCTCTCTCTCTCTCTCTCTCTNCTCTCTGTGCACTGTTCCTCTCTCTCTCTCTCTCTCTCTCTCTCTCTCTCTCTCTCTCTCTCTCTCTCTCTCTCTCTCTCTCTCTCTCTCTCTCTCTCTCTTGTGTCCTCCTTCCTGTTGTCTACTGCCTCTCCTTGTGTACCACTAGTAAACGCACATGAATGAGTGTCATTGAGAGAACAGATAAAATATAGTTACCCTTTTACGCTGCCTTTTTTTATAACGTGCAAGTGGGCCATAAAGGCACACACGGATGTGGGCAGCTGGCGCTCAACCATCATCAACGTGGCCAGCCTTGTACGTGATAGGCACAGTAAGAACGTAACTACAAAAACAAAGAAAATGGGAGGCCTCCCAATGCTAGCTGATGAGAATATAATCAAGAAAACGATATAACGAATTTATTGTGTCTCGTATTGTTTTTACTGCTGGGTTGGCCCATCTCAAGTTTGTTGCATTGCTTGTGTAAAGGTGAGATTCCTTGCTTGTTTAAAGGTAAGGTTCTGAATAGATATTGACTTCACATGCAAAACTGTTTCATTGGTGGATTGGCTCATCTTGAGAATGCTTCATTGCTGTCTCTTATACACATCTAGATGTGTATAAGAGACAGGTGTGTGTGTGTGTGTGCGTGTGTGTGTGTGTGTGTGTGTGTGTGTGTGTGTATACACAGACATCAGAACTCAGCACATCACCAATTTGCGCACGGTGCATGGCGTGCACACACCGCGGAAGTGCACCGCAAGTATGCAACACACTATTCATCTGCGTGGAAAAGGGGTTGTTGTGGTGGCAGTTTACAACACGCACTGTTTCATTGTTGGAATGTCTACAATAGAGGTAAGGCTGGATGGATTTTGGATCTACTCATCTGGGTGGAATAGGGGCTGTTGTGGTGAAATCTACAACGCACACTCTCACACAGCGGGTATCCATGGCTGAGTGGGTTTTATGGCTGTTACAGACTAATTTCTCAGACATACTGCCATTCCTGTGAGGGGTTTGGACCGACAGTCTGCCAGGATTGCAGGGTTCGTGTGAGTAAAATCAACCACTTTTCTCAGGGGTATTGTTAGCTCTGGGTGGCATGGTGAGCCTCATCGATCAGTTAAAATTCATCCGGGGCAGACTGTTGGGGTTCAGCCTCCTGATGAGTTGGTGAAAGTCCAATTAACAGTATGGCACAGTCGTATGCTTTTTTTCCTTGCGGAGTTCTGTATAACGAATATGACAACAGACACACACACACACAGGAGCATACCTTCCCTTTTGCTCTTCCTCCTGAAATAACGTGAATCAACATCGGCAGCCTTGTGCGTAAGAGGCACAGTAAAAGGGGACCTGCAAGAACAATGAAAGAGGTACCCCAAGGACAACCAAAAAACTGTCTAATTATAAAATTGCTTTAATATGTTGGACATCTCAAATGCTCTCGATGTCTGCAACAGGACAAAGACTGATTTGATTCTGAATCTATTCATCTCGGTGGAATTGGGCTGTTGTGGGGAAAATCTAACACACACACACACACACACACACACACACACACACACACACACACACACAATGAGAGGGGTACCCCAAGTTCTGTATAACGAATGTGACAATACACACACACACACACACACACACAATGAAAGGGGTACCCCAAGGACAACCAAAGAACTGTCTAATTATAAATTTGCTTTAATATGTTGGACATCTCAAATGCTCTCGTTGTCTGCAATAGGACAAAGACTGCTTTGATTCTGAATCTATTCATCTGGGTGGCATTGGGGATGTTGTGGGGGAAATCTAAAACACACACACACAGACACGAATGAACATCGTTAAGAGAACAGACGATATGAAGATCATAAATGAAATGAATGAAGTATGAAGATGAAGGACGGACACAAAGACCAAGTATAAGCTGAAGATCTAAAGTGAAATGAACAGGAGTATGATGGCCTGAAGAGAAATACACAGGAGCATACCTTCCCTTTTACTCTGGCTCCCGAGATGATTTGAGATCCGGGTAATCTCACAAAATAACACTCATATATATTGAGCTCGTAATGGTACTTAACGTGCAAGTTGGCCGTGAAGGCACACGGGGATGTGGGCAGCTGCCGCTCAACCACAATCAACGTGGGTAGTCTTGTACATAAAAGGCACAGTAAAAGGGGAGCTGCAAGAACAAATGGAAGAGTACCCCAAGGACAACCAGAAAACTGTCTAATTAT